CCCCAAAACCCCAAAACCCCACAAAGCTGAACATATTTATAGCAAGTGAAATAAATAAATTGTGAATTTGAATTTTAAAATAATGACTTGTAAGATGATGAAACCACACATTTTATATATTGATTATATTAATACTCCTTCTTATAGCAGAACAATTGATAATTACAGTGGGAGATATTGCAGATATTCCCCATACTTCTAGTCAAATTGATAAGAGTTTGATAGGATGCTACATTCACCTAAACAATAGACTAATCGATGTTATGGTGCTATCCGATGTGGACTATTTCATCAAAATACCAATTAACAGTAAATCTAACAACGAAGATAAGATCTCTATTATGTTCAAGAAATTAGCCAGTGGGGATGATGAGGAGCCCATAGGTATAAGTTTTAGAATTATAATCTTTTTATTAGGTAAATTTGATGATAGTTTGGGAGCGTTTAAGGAAGCATCAGTTAATTAAGTTGTTAAGAAATGGATCTCGTTAGCCTCAAGATCTTCATAAATCAGAGACTCAAATCCTTTGAAGGAAAATGCTTTCAATGGTCCCAGAGCACTTATTTACTATTGTTTTGGAGAATCTAGTAATGGAATTGCTGCAATTCAGGAGGAAATTGGGACTCTTGGTAAAGATAAATCAAATCTATCTCAATCCTCACCGTTTAAGGATAGATATTCTAATAATTCTTACTCTAACAACAATTCTATTTCAAGAAATATGTCTTCTGAAAAAAAGTCAACCAATTCTTTCTACGATAATTCAAATAATAAATAGTAAACAGGAACTACTATCATATAAAACAGGTATAGTTAGTAAAATGAATATCAAGAGATAGATAAAACTACTATTTCTTCTGTTAAAAACTCATCAGTAATTGAAGGCAAGTAAGCCATTGATGAGAGTAAATATGTCTTGCCATCCAAGATGCACAAAGATATTAGAAACGATCCAGATGTGGCAGCTAAGATTTAGGAACTTGAAAAGTCTGCTAAGCTTTATATGTAGTTTGACATGTAGAAGCTATAAAATGATATGAACAAAGAGCTTGAAGGAGATATCTAAAGATTGAAAAAAGAGTATCAATCTCATTAAGAAGAGGTCCAAACAAAATTAAAATCATGCGAGTAATTGAATAAAAATTCACAATCATTAAAGAATGATAGTGTATCACTAAGACAATAAAAATAGAAAGGTCTATAAGAAATTTCATAGAAAAATCTTGAGTTTGAGAAAAAGTATTCTAAGGACAACTCTGAGAAATCAGATTTAAGAGGCCATATGGTGGATCTAGAAAAGAAACTAAGAGAATTGCAAAGAGAAATTGCAGCAACTAATCTTGAGAATGAAACTCTAAAAGCACTTTTATCAGGCGAATAAGAATTAAGAGACGATAGAAATACTGAAGAGACTCACGCTTTACTAATTATTAATGATGATCTTAAGTAAAATATTTTTGTTGCAGATGAGGACAAAAAGAAGGGGAAAAAGTAAAGGGAGCATGTAGAAGCTCAAATTCTTATCTTTGATAAGGTGGTTTCAGATTCAAAACAAAAAGTTCAAGATCTGATTTAAAATATTTAACAAAGTCAGGCATAAAATCAAGAACAGCTTCAACGATATGAGACAGAGTTAAAAGCCATTACCAGTGAGAATAGAAACCTAAAAATAACTAAAGAAAAATAAGAATCAAGCATCAAACAACTAGAAAGAGATATTCAATAATTGTAGTAATAAGATAAATAGTTGGAAATAGAGTGGAATAAAAAGATTGATGATGTTGAAAAGAGCATTCATGATAGAAGATAGCAAATTCATGAACTACTTGATTCACTCCAAGATACTAGCACTGAAATTTCTCAATTGAAGGTCTAAGCTCAAACTAACCAGTATAAGTTAGAATATGAACTATCACTAAAGGAGATGTACGATACTCACCAATATGAAAATAGAATGAGAAAAATCAATACTGAAATCGAACAGTCATAAAAGAAGACTTAGATTTTAAGAGAAGAATTAACTCGCATCAGTGAATACTGGTCAGATTACTATGAAGATTCAATTACTCAACTGAGACAAAGAATTGAAGAGTTGAATTCACAAAGCTTATTAGACTAAATTGATAAACTCCTGCATTAAATAAAAGAAAAGGATGCTATTCTATCTGAGTTGCAATATGGCATTAATGATATCTAAAATGAAGTTTCAAAAGTCCACAGCACAGATCAAGAGCTATAATAAGCTAAGCAAGAGTACCAAGAAAAATTCAAGCTTTATCACAGACTACTGAATGAAAAATCTATACTTTATGACCAGATGTATGTGAGTGCTAGACAACTAATCAATAGAGATGAACTTATCATTAAAAATGAACAGGAAATTGTTAGAATAAAGTATGATATCGACATCAGTAAACTAGAGATGGAGTAAAAGAAAGAATTAGTGGTTGAGTTGGAGACTCAGTTAGAGCAGTTAAAAGCCACTTATAAGGAACTTAAGTTAGAAATTAAACGCCTTGAAAAGCGAGCAGAACTCTTGCAAGTTACACTTAAGTAAAAGGAAGACGAACTTGATCAATTAGAGGAAATGTTGAGAGATCGTGACAATGTCATTGAAGAGCTTGAGAGATAGATTGGAGATAGACCTATCGAGCTACCTAAGCCTGTTGAAGCCAAGAAAATTTTGTATAGACCAATAAAAGGTGATTTAGTTGATGAGCTGATTGCTAAATATGTTAATGGAATGACATGTCCACTTCCGATTAAGCGTCTCGGTGACGGTAATTATTTATTCGGAACTAAGAAAATTTACGCTAAAATTATGAATGGCAAACTGGTCATCAGAGTCGGAGGAGGCTTCATGTCGATTGAGGAATTCATTGCAACTTATGCTGACTTCGAAATTACCAAAGTACAATAAATGATGGAAAAGGGTACTTTTAATATGGATGAATATTCCAATCAAAACAACTTCCATGTTATCGAACTTTCACCAAGTAAGAATTTGAATCATCTGATGTTTTATTAATTATTCAAATTATAGAGAAGGGAGCCAGAAGAATGGGAAGTGGATCTCCTAGCAGAGACAAAGTCTCACCTTGAATTTTAAAATGACTCTTATACTTACCTTATTATAAACCTGCGCAATAATTCATTAAATTACTTCATCAAAATCATGAAATCGCTCTTAATGGGGTTTTGGGGTTTTGGGGTTTTGGGG